GTACTATACTAGCATTAGTACTAGTACTAGTACCAGTATTAGTACTAATACTAGTACTAGTACTAGTACGAGTACTAGTACTAGTACTAGTACTAGTACTAGTACTAGTACTAGTACTAGTACTAGTACTAGTACTACGACTACGACTACGACTACGACTACTACTACAACTACAACTACTACTAGTACTAGTACTAGTACTAGTACTAGTACTAGTACTAGTACTAGTACTAGTACTAGTACTACGACTACGACTACGACTACGACTACTACTACAACTACAACTACTACTACTACTACTACTACTACTACTACTACTACTGCTACTACTACTACTACTACTACAACTACGACTACGACTACGACTACGACTACGACTACGACTACTACTACGATACTACGACTACGACTACGACCACGACCACCACCACTACAACAAGTACTACTACTAGCACTACGACGACGACTACTACTACGACTACTGTTTCTAATAAGTATACTCCTGCTACGACAACTCCTTCTCCTACTCCTCCTTCTTCATGTGGTGTTGCAGCAGTGCAGCATAGTGCAGACAGTGAATCGCAAATGGCTCTATCTAAATCCTTCTCCTCCTCCTCCCCCTCCTGCTCCCGTCCACTCTTCTTGTTCTTTTCGAGCAAGATGGGATATCGGATCGAATCCGAATGTCCACATCGGGCCAGGCAGCATCGGCGAGGAGCCGAAACTGAACCCGATCGTGGGCGCCCCAACGCACAACAACACTGTGTAATCATGGGATCGCCAGGGAAACCGAAACCGAATCGGAGCGAGCCAACCGTAATAGATATCAAATCGGTTCGATCGGATCGAAATGGAAGCTGACTTCGGTTTTCGGATCACATCTCGGGTCTCTGGCGGCCGTTCGGGACGATCCGGGCAGCTCCAGGACGCTCTCGGCGAGGCGCAGCTACTGGAACGCATCCCGAGGTTGGAAAGCAGCCCTCCTGAGCCGACCCGGCACCGGCACACGCTCCTCCTGGGCTGAACCTAAACGGTGTTTTTCGTTTTCGCTTTGTGTTCGTTTTCCCTCGCGTTTGTCTCGAATCCGCCTTTACCGCAAAACGAAATCGAAACGAAAACGGCCGACGAAATCACCAAAAACACCGTTTCGGTCCAGCCCTGCGCTCCTCCTCTTTGAGCAGGGACCGACCGTCCCGGCATTCCTATAATCCTACCACGAAATGTTCTTAGACCCCCAATATGTTCTAATAACAAAAACACTGTTCTTCGAACATAATTCCGATGTGATAAAACAAAACGGACTCCGCCAGAAATGCTCTAAGAATCTTTCGTGGAAACCACAACAGGTTCTCAGAACATTGTTCGGTGGGGCTATAGGCGAGCCAGGACGCTTCGCCACTGCTTGCCTCTTGGGACGCACTCTTCCATCGAATATTTCAAGGCCCCGCGGTGCGGCACGACGCTGCTCCACCGCCTCCCCGCCACTACCCTCCTGCTGATATGCCTCCCCCTCCCCCTCCTCCTCCTCCTCCTCCTCCTCCTCCTCCCCCTCCTCCTCCTCCTCCTTCTCCTCCTCCTCCTCCCCCTCCTCCTCCTCCTCCTCCTCCTCCTCATCCTCCTCGCCCGTGGCGGGCGCGGCGGGGGGGGGCCTTCTCCGTCGAGGGCGCCAGGCGGGCGGCGATCTTCGCGGCCTGCTCTGTCTGGCCGGCCCTGCGCCGCGCCGGCCCCGCATCCAAGCAGCCGTCCTCCCCCGAGAACCGGGCACTGCAGCTCGTTCACTGAAGGGGCCCTGGGGCACACAGATAAATACGGCAGGTTCGCGTCGTGTCGACCCCGGCGTTGGTTTCTGACACCGCGGGGATCGTTCAATCTTGAACGATCGGCCGTTTCCGAAACGCCCAAATCGTTCCACATCGAACGATTCTGGGTCGCCCGCGGCGTTCAAGGTTGAACGCCGCTGGCGGGGTCGCCGCCGGTCGACACGACACGAACCTACCGTACATATAGATAACAGGATTTCCCCTATTTTCCAACATCTTCTGGGTGTTTGTCTTTCCCCCCTACCCTCCAGATGTTCCCATATGTTCCTGGGAGTCGACGATGAATTGTGTCTGCTTTTTTGTCCCTCCTGATTCACGCCGAGCGTTGCGCCAGGGTTCGGGCAACGGGACCATCACAGATCGATCCGGCTCCAAAACTACAGCGGAAAGATAGGGTCTAGGGCTCTGGCTGTGACTTTTCACGATTTTGTATTTGTTGTTTCGCTTCGTCGGATCTCAGGGTCCGCCTCCCTCACTCTCTCCCTCCCTTCTCCCGTCCTTCGTCAAGGCGAGCGCCAACTATGTACGCGCCTGCACCGCTCCTGGCCAGGCTCATCCTTGGCCCAGCATCGGTGCATATGCCTCCTGGCTTGGGCAGGAAGGCATATCTCTATGCATCTTTGTATACACGTGCTTGCATGTTACACCGGTCCTGGGCCCAACTCGGCCTGGCCATGATCTGTGTAGGTGTGCAATCGGAGACCGCCGGTCCCTCCCTACCACCTACATCCTGTGCTTCTGCACTGGTACCCTCCCTCCGTCCCCCCCCCCATTCCCTCTCCCCCACACCCATTCTCCCCATTCCCGTCCATTCCCCCATTCCCCCTCCATTCTCCCCATTCCTTCTTCCCCCCCCAATTCTCTCCCTCTATCCCCCCGCATTCCCTCTTCCCCCCCCCCCTTCCCGCTCCTTCCCTCGACGATCCCTGATGTCTTTCCTGCTCCCCCCTCGTTCCAGCCTTCCTTCCCTCCCTCTCTCTCCCTCCTTCCTTTCTCTCGTTCTCTCCCTCCTTCCTTCCCGCTCTCTCTCCCTCTCTCTTTCCCTCCTTCCTTTCCCTCTTTCACTCCGTCCGTCCTTCCAATGGCGGATGGAAACATGCGGGGGAAGGAATCGAGGAGAGCAACCGTGCGCCTGTTCAGCTGGTCCATGTGGGTTCGCAGCTGGCTCTGGTGTCGCATCTCCTGGAAAGAGTGGAGAGATGGACGGAGGGAACGATTCGATCGAGTGCTGCCCGAGATGGCCCTGGCCCTTGGCGGCCTCATCTTTTCCAGAGAGATCCGTGTGGCCTCAAGGGCACCCCTCACGAGGTCCCGGGGGATCCAAAATTGAACGAAAGGTGGGGGGGAGCCTTGGGCCAGTCACCACCTCTGGCAGCCTCCGGTTTCAAGGGGAGGGGATTCAGGTGAGAAAGCCAGGCGGAGCAGAGAGCGGACGGAACGGTGGCAACAGAATGGATAGGATCCGAACGGCATAAAACCGATGCTGCTGGCGCCTCCTGGCGCCGGAAGCGGCCGCGTGCTTCAAGCGCGCCAAGCCTGGTCGCAACTGTCGGGTCGGGCGAAAGGGGGGGATAGCAAAGGGGGGGTTTGAGAATCAGCTCACGCAGCTGATTTTCCCGGCGCCCCCCGGCATGGGCCCCTCGGTGAGGCCGAAAACAGCTGCATGCAGCAAATTCTTGACGCTTCGCGTATCCCCACCAGCCCATCCTACACCAGGCACTCGAACGAAGAGCGCCGATGATCGGCAGCTGTTCTCCTCCCCCTCTTCCTCCTTCTCCTCCGCCTTCTCCTCCTCCTCCCTTCCTCCTCCTCCTCCCTTCCTCCTCCTCCTCCTCCTCCTCCTCCGCCTCTTCCTCTTCCCTGGTGGCGTCTTGGAGGTATCTTCGAACGTTTTGGTGGGCTCTTGGGCCTCGCGGGCGGGCGGGCGGCGCTCCGCCCGCCCGCGCGCAGGGCGCAAGAGGAGAGTCCGAGACGTCTCTTGAGGCCCTCTTGGAGGACATCGATCGCAGAAGGGGGAAGCATTTTTTAGCGTCGCCCCCCTGGGGGGCACGATCCTCGTGAGGGGTGTCGAATTTTAGCCCTCCCAGGGGTCGTTCTTGGACGCTCTAACTACCCGCGGCCCCCCCTGTCCAGGTCAGTGGGGAGGGGGTAGGGGGAGGGGTAAACCCCTCCCCGAAGGGGAAGAAGGAGGGGTGGAAGAGGAAACGCTCTAAACCACCGACGCCCAGAGGGCTGGTGGGTTTTTCAGCCATATTGGAGGCTATCTTGGGCTCCCCGAAGCTCTTTCGGAACCGTCTTGGCCCATCTTTCACTATCTTGTGAGCCTCCTGGAGGCCTCTTGGGCGTCTCTTGGGGCGTTCTTGAAGCGCTGTTGGAGGCCTCAGAGGCGCTGGTAGAGCCCATATTGGAGGGGATCTGTCAAAGAAAGCGGAAGCACTAAGTAGCGTCGCTCCTGGAAAGCCTCTAAAATCGCCTCCTGAACCGCTCTTGGAGGGCTCTTGGAGCGCTCTTGGGCGTTCTTTGCGCCGTCTTCGGGCTTTCTTGGGCCCTTCTTGGAGCTATCTTGAGCCATCTTGGAGCTATCTTGACGCCTCGGGTGGGCATCGGAAGCGAAAGCGCGAGAACGCCAAAAACATTGATTTTCCCTAGGGTTTTGAAACATTTTGGCTTCTTGGGGGCATCCGAGGGGAGCTCTAGTGGACACTTAGAGCCGTCTTGGGGCGGTCTTGGAGCGTCTTGGAGCATCTTCGGAACCATCTTGGGGCATCTTGCGCTATCTTGAACCATCTTGGAGCGATCTTGGGCTCCCTGAGGCCCTCTTGGAGTCGTCTTGGCTCATCTTGGGCGCTCCAACGCGTCGCGGCCCCCCCTGTCCAGGTCAGTGGGGAGGGGGGGGGGGAGGGGTAAACCCCTCCCCGAAGGGGAAGAAGGAGGGGTGGAAGAAGAAACGCTCTAAACCACCGACGCCCAGAGGGCTGGTGGGATTTCGTACCCCCCCTTTCTCAAATCCCCCCTTTCGCCCGACCCGAAACTGGCTCCCTTTATCCCGGCCGGCCCCATGGGGGCCACTTTGCCTTCTGGCCGCTGGGCCTCCTGGCAGTGTCGCCCCCTGGTGCGTCATGCCTCTGCGGTGCTGCGGGCTCTGTGGGCGCTGGCCGGGGGAATCTTACGACCGTGGGCCGCTGGGCGGCTACTCCAGACTTCGTAATAAAAGGGAGGGGGTCTGGACCCTCCAAGACAAGCCATTTCAGACCCCCCCTCGTGGGAGAACCCTCCAAAACATCGTCCCCAGACCCCCCCAGGCCCTCCAAGATAGCCTGGAAGAGACCCCCCCCGAAATGAGACCCCCCTCCCTTTATTACGAAATCTGGTAGCGGAGTTCGAAGCGAGGATGCCGTGTCGCATCTTCTCATCCCTCGTCTTTGGTGGCTGCCTGGTTGACGACGCGCGCGTCGTTCTGTCATCGCTGTTCGCCTCGGACGCACCAAATTTCCCAGGCCACAGTGGACGCCCTAGCATAATGGCCGTAGCTCAGTGGTGCCGAATGTCTGAGCTTACCAAACGCTCTCTGTGGAACGCAAGACATTAGTTCAGCTCGCGGCCGCCTGTAAAGTCCCGTGCCCCTACGACGCCCTCTGCGGGCCTGGGTGGTGCATGCAGGCCGCTGGGGGGGCAGGATGTGGGGGGAACTCTCTTTGTGTCTCTCTCTCTCTCTCTTTCTTTCCCTCTCTCCTCTAAATAGAGGTGGGCGCAAGACAACGGGTTGGTTCGCCGCCTGGGTCTTTCCCGAGGAACGCATGGGATTCCAAACAACAATTCCTCTGCTGCCGAAGAGGAGGTGTTAACTTCCGCCTGTTTTAGGGTCCCGTCTACGACGTCCTCCGCAACCCTGGGTGGTGCATCCAGGCCGCGGCGGGGGAGGCGGCGGGGTCTTTTCTCATGTCTCTAAACTGCGAATCGGCGGGCGCAAGGCGTCGGGTCGGCCCGCCTGTTGGTGGCGTTCCCGTGGGGCTCTCATTTCTGTTTCACCGTCGGGCGCTACGTCCTGCTGCTTCACAGTCGTGGGGCGAAGCGTTTTCCGCTTCACAATCGTGATGCGTTTTGCGTCTGCTTCTCATATGCGTCTCCGCGCCATCTGTCTTATCTGAGATCTTGAATCGTCCCAAATGTGAATTCTTCTGGTCACGCGTCCTGCTGGATTCTCGGCTCAGAGCTGGTAGCGGTGCGGGGACGCTGCGCTCCACGCCCCCGGTGCGTTCTCAGAGCCACGGGGCCACCCAGGTGATCGAGCTTTCGGCTCCAACAGTCCAGGCACGTGCAGCGCACCCTCCGCAAGCTGAGCTACAATCGCAAGCTCGAATCGAGACGATGCTTCCTGAGATGATTTCCGTCCCGTGCACAGGGTACTGAAGCGCATCAGCGCAGCCCGCACACGTCAAGGTGGGCCAGGGAGGAAGAGGAGGAGGATGAGGAGGAGGAGGAGGGGGAGGAGGGATGGTGGAGGGGAAGGAGGAGAAGGAGGAGGAGGAGGAGGGGGAGGAGGAGGAGGAGGAGGAAGAGGAGGAAGAGGAGGGGGAGGAGGAGGAGGAGGAGGCCCAACACGACGCCCAATCTTCCAAGCCTCCGAGGTGGTCTCGCGTATCTGCGCCGTCGACCCCGAGGGCGGGTCCGCAGGGGGACGCGCCGCGCCCAAAGAGGCGGCGACAGCGCGGCCGTTCAGAGGGCGGGTTCTCTTGACCGGATGCTGGCCCCCCGCCGGTGTCTTCCTTCCATCCTCTGCGCCGTCGTCCTGGCCCGAGCGTGAAAGGGCCCTTCGGGTGAGCCAACGCCGCTCGCAGTCGACGACAACTCATGGATGAACAGCGCCTGAGACAACGACGACAGGGCAAGGTCACCGTGCGCGGAACACTCAGGCACAAGCGAAAAGAGCAGGGATGGGGAGTCAAACAACAGCGGCAGCAGCTTACCCATCCAATGTAGCATCATCCAGTCTCACCCCCAAAAGCTTTCTCCTGAGGGCCCCGAGAGGCAAACATCCATGGTTGCCCTTCGGGACGGAAATAAGTTGTTATTGCAAGTCATAAGTCGACGCCCCCAGGCGGGAGTGCCCCGCCGTCGGCGCCACGCGCGATGGCGGGCGGCTGCGTGACCACCCGCCGCGGGCCGCCGCTCCATCGGGCGGGCCAGGCTCGCGCGCGGGCATGCTGGCGTGCCGCGCGGCCGTGCGTCGGTGTCCTCCGTCTCCCCGCGCACGGTCGGAATGCCTCCTTCCTGCCGCCTGGCCGCGGGGCGGGATAGCAAGTGCCCGGCCATGTCTGCAGCGCCCCGCCTGCCTGGTGTGCACTCTGGGGTGGGGCGGCTGGCCAGGGTGTTGCCCTCTGCCTGCCAGAGCGCCGCTTTGGACCACCCCTGGGGCGACGCGCGGCGCGTCCGTTCGCCAGAGTGTGCCAGACGCGACCGCAGGGAGGGGAGGAAAAGCGCGAAAAAGGGAGGATGATGAAGTTTGAGGGGGAGGCGACGGTCGAAGAGGTGGGAGGAACATGAGAGGAGGAGGAGGAGGAGGAGGAGGAGGAGGAGGAGGAGGAGGAGGAGGAGGAAGAGGAGGAGGAGGAGGAGGAGAGGAGGAGGAGGAGGAGTTTTCTCCCACCCACCACCCTCGAGGGGGGTATGGCACCCATGTGCTTCGGCCTTCGCCCTGGCGCGCCAGCCGCCAGTGTCGTTTGACGCGGCGGGCTGGCGGATCAGCTGGAGGCGTACGGCCGCGGCCTCACCCAACGCTGATGGGGTGCCGTCCTCCTCTCTCGGGTGGCATCGCGGTCGAACGTCGCCGCGAAGGAGCCTTATGTGCCGCATTGTTTTGGGGGCGATCGTCTTCTCAAACGTCTGACGCTACAAAACTGCCCCAGAAACTGGTACGAGGGCCCCAGGACGGCCCAAGTGGATTCCAAGACGGCCCAAAGAGGGGCCAAGACGGCCAAAGATCGCTCCAAGAAGGCCCCAAGAGAGGCACATTGGAAGAACACGAACCGATAATCAGATCCTCCGCCCGTTGAGGCCCCTCAAAGGCCCCAAGAAACCCCCAAGCTGCCCAAACGAGGCCCCCAATAAGCCCAAGGAGGACTGAAAACGGCCAAGCTCCCCAGACGCCCACAAAAGTCTCCAAACAATGCCCAGGAAACCCAGGACGCCTCAACCGTGGACTCCCCGCCTCTTCTGGATGTCGGCGGGGTGTCGTAAGCCTCTTAAATTAAACACTAGCGTCTGAGACAACGAAAAAGGAGCAAGGTCACCGTGCGTGGAAATTCATGAATCGGTCCAAGAGAACAAAGCAGGGCGGAGTCAAACAAGTGCGGCATCAGTTCGCCAATCCAATGTTGCATCATCAGATAACTCTCAAGACATATAACATAGTGCAGCATAGTGAGTCCGACCATCCATTCGAAGATCAACATAATCGCAATAACATCCGAACAAACATCCATGGGACAGTGAGGGAAATCTAGCAGACGCTTTCACCCCACAAATGTAAGCTCGTGCAAACAAGAACGGACACGCTTCCGCAACTTCAAAACGTGTGCCTACTGAACCTCGGCTCCCCTCCTGGCCACTGCGCCCGATCTCCACGAGGCTTGCGAAATGCTGCGCGAAGGCGTTCCATCGGTCGGAAGAAGTGGGTAGAAACATGAAGGGCGTTGAAACCAAATATGGCTTCCGCCCGCCCCCTGAGGAAGAAAGAGAGACAGCCACCAAATCCTTGAAATCGGAAGGCGCCCGTAGCAGACTGGAATCCGGGGACCCACAAGGACCGACATTCAACGACCGATGGGTGCACCTGTGAGCCCGACCTGCGCAGAAACGACATCGGGGATCTTCTGACCCGGGTCAATCCAGGCCCGGGTCAGTCAAGCCTTGCAGAATCTTGCAAGATCCTGCGCCCAAACCCCGGTCAATGCGACAAATCCTGCAAGTCCCTGCAGGATCCTGCACCCGAGCCGGGGCCAATGCGACCCTGGGCCTGCAGGATCTTGCAAGATCGGGCGCTCTGGCGGACCCCCCGTTTGCATTGTAAAACAGGGCTAGGATCGGGATAAATCGCTCCAGAGCGTTCCGGAGCGCTCTCAGAGCGTTCCGGAACGCTCTGGAGCGGCCGCGGCGCCCAATACATCCTCCAAACGCGCCGATTCTCAGAGATTTCGAGTTATCCCGATCCGATTTTGTCCCGATCTTCGCGTCGTTTTGCATTGACCCCCGTCTCAAGGCTCCCGGCGACAACACTCTCTCTCGACCCCGGCCCAGGCTCGGACAGCGGGCGGCCAGGATGCCCCGGACGAGCTCATCCTCCGCCTCCTCCTCCTCCGCCTCCGCCTCCTCCTCCTCCTCCTCCTCCTCCTCCTCCTCCTCCTCCTCCCGCCCGCTGCCGAGCTCTCCCTGCCTCCCCGCGGCAGCAGGGGCGGCAGGGCGTCGGCGGGGGGGGGGTCTCCTCGACCTTGCTCTTGTCGCCCCGCATCCTCCGGACCTCGTCCTGGAGGGCCTGCTCCTGCTTCTTCGCCTGCTGGTGCCTGCGCCACGCTCGGGTCGGGCGACAGGGGGGGATAGCAAAGGGGGGGGTGAGAATCAGCTCACGTAGCTGATTTTCCCGGCGCCTCCCGGCGCCGGAGGCGGCTATGTATCGAGGAACGGGACCCTCGGTGAGGCCGAAACCAGCTGCATGCAGCAGATTTCGTAACCCCCCCTTTCCCAATCCCCCCCTTTCGCCCGGCCCGACACGCACGGGGGCGGAGGAGGCACCGAGCGCCGCAAAACATGCGCCGAGGTTTCAAATGCCCACGTGGTGCTGAAGTGCAGGTGGACCGGGGTTGTGCGACCACTCCCTGATCTGCTTTCAGCATACAGACTCAAGCATCGGCCTTATTCGCCACCGAACCGCTGGGCACGAAGCGGAGTGTCATCAGGTCCCATACTCGTATGTGTTGGGTACTGTTAATTTGGCTCGCTGCTAGGCCTCGAAAGACCGCCAGAGCTCATCCGCATGACCAGCCAGGACGTTCGTTCATGCATATGGGACCCTATCGGGCGATGGTCCTGTGGCAACATGGTGCGACCACGCGCGGCCCAGCAGCAATGAGCTGGGCCACCTCAGTTCGCTGAGGCAACAGACCAAGCCAGGGCCATTTTGATCCCCCAGGCTTCGGCTAGGAGACTGTCGCTAAACTTGCGTGGCTGGTCACTGCGGCCCGCATACGTCCAAATAGGGAAAGGCGGCGTCGCCTCTCGAGCGGCACACGCCTGCTCCTGGGCGCTCCTGGACGCTATCTCGGGCCAGTCGCATGACTTTCTCTTGAGGCCAGGGGGGCCCAAGACGGGCCCAGAGGGTACCAAGACGGGCCAAAATGCCCCCGAGACGACCCAAGGGCGCTCCAAGACGCCCACGATGGCCCCAAGACGCCACACGAGGCCTCCCAGACGGCCCAACAGGGCCCCAAGAAGACCCCCACGAGGACGCCAAGAGGCAACAGTCGTTGACTTTCCGTTCTCGCTCTTCCTGTCTTCCAACGCTCAATGACGGCCCAAGAGGCCCCCAAGATCGCCCCAATACGACCCAAAATGGCCCTAGGGGGGGGCCCAAGACGGCCCAACGAGGGGAAACACGAACTGACGGTTCGAGCCTTCCGCCCCAAGATGACCCCCGAGACCGCAAGCAGCCTCCCAAGAGGCCCCCAAGAGACACCCTTGGATTATGTTCCCATCCTACTTAAGGACCACATCCCAGAAATAATTTCGAGCACCTGGAAAAGTGTCAAAAGAGTGTCGAAACTATGTCGAAACAGTGTCGGGCGAATGTCTCCCAAGACCCGACACGTGAAAACCCTTGAGTTCCGGTACTTTTTTGGAGCTCGAAATTCTTGCCGGTGATCAAGGCGAAAGTAGGTTGGAGCATCATAACCCTTGGAGAACTGTTTGGTCCAAAAGGCATCTGGTCCACCACCCAGGCACGGTAGCGGGATAGGCCGAAAGCCATTCGACCTGGGCTGGCACGGCAGCGGAGAGAGCGCTGCAAGCACTGGCCCGAGATGGCTCCCGACACCCTTCGCTTTGGGGAGCCTTGGCGTGTGAAGAGCCTGTTGCGTCACCGCTCTCTGATGGGAGCCCTGGTGTTGTGGAGGACGGTCAATGGAGAGGAAGCATGTTTTCAAATAGTTGCCAGATGTCTAAAACATGTGTTAAACATGTTTCAGACATGTGAAACACATGTTTAGAACATGTTTAGAACATTATGAACACATTTTGAATCCAATGATAGGACTGTTAGGGTGTCCATTCTCGTGGCATCCACAACCCTGCGGTTCAGAGACTTTTGCATTGCCGCACGGTCTTGGGAGCCTTGCTTCTCAGAGTTCTTCAACTCACCGCGCTCTGGGGAGCTCTGCTGTTCAGAGCTTGTCACGTGACCGCTCGCTGTGGGGACCCAAGGTGTTCCTTGGCGTCTCTGGGGATTCTTGGGGGTCGTTTGGGGGCCCTTTGGGACCGTCTGGGGACTCTTGAGCCGTCTTGGGCCAGCCTAGTCCCCACACCCAAGCACGCGTCCCCACACTGCCTTTTCGGGTCCTCTTGGGAGCCTCTTGGGGCCCTCTTGGTGCTCTCTTGGGCCGTCTTGGGGCACCCGTGGGCCGTCTGGGGAGCCCTCTTGGACCGTTTTCGAGCCCTCTTGGGGCCTCCGGGGCCGTCTGGGAAGGATCTGGGGTCCTTCGAAGCCAGAAACAGCGAGAACCCCAAAACTTTTTTGAAAAACCTTACGACAACGATGTTTTTGGCCTCCTGAGACCCTCTCAGGGGCCCTCTTCAGGGCCGTTCTGGAACTCTTGGGCCGTCTTGGGGCCAGCCCGATCCCCACACCCATGCAGCCCAGTCCCCACACCGCCCCTTCGGGTTTCCTTGGGAGTCTCTTGGAAGCATCTTGGGGTCCTCTTGGGGCTCTCTTGGGATCGCCTTGGGGCACTGTTGGGCTGTTTAGGGGCCCTCTTGGGCCGTCTGGGGGCTCTCTTGGACCGTTTTGGGGCCCTTCGGAGGGCCTCTGGGACCGGCTTGGGACGAGTTGTGGTGCCTCTCGGGCCGTCTGGGCCCTTCTGGAACCGAAAAGGGGAGAACCCGAAAAACCTTTGAAAAAGCCTTAGGGATATCAGTGTTGTTGGCCTCCAGCGTCCCTCTCGAGGGCCCTCTGCAGGGCCTCTGGAGCCGTCTCGAGACTCTCTTGGGCCGTCTGGGGGCAATCTGAGGCTCTCTTGGGGCCGTCCTGGGGCCGTTTGGGGGCCCTCTTGGGCCGTCTTGGGGCCCTCGTGCCGCTTCACTGGACAAAACACAAAAAGAAAACAGGCCATGGGAGCCGCCCAGGAGCCGCTTCACTGGAAAACATACGAAGGAAACGGCCCCGGGAGGCATTACAGTGGGGGCGCGTATCAAGAAAACATCTGCTTTTCGTCAGGGTATCCAGCGTTTCTTCGCTCCTCGCGCTGTGCAGTGACTTCCCGCTGCCGTTGAAGAAGCTGCTGCGTTCAGGGTGCGCTGGGCTTCCCCCGAGTCGCACCCTTTGCAAGGGTCTCCAGGGCTGGGTCTCTTGCGAGGAATTCTTGCGTCCACGCCCGAAATGTAAAACCAGACTTCCGCGCCTAGCCCCTCCCCTGGACCCCTCCCTAGAGGGCATCGCCCCAACCCAACTTCTTTCGCGCCTCCGCCTCCGCCTCCGCCTTCTCGTCCTCCTCCTCCTCGTCCTCCTCCTCCTCCTCCTCCTCCTCCTCCTCCTCCTCCCCCTCCCTCCTCCCTCCTCCTCCTCCTCCTCCTCCTCCTCCTCCTCCTCCTGCTCCTCCTCCTCCTCCTCCTCCTCCTCCACTCGTTCCCCTGAATGTTTTCACAACGGCTACGGGAACATACAGCCCAACGGCTTGGCCAGACCTTCGCTCAACGTTTTGGACACACAAGCGCTTCCAACAAGCAAGGGGCGGCGGTGGTTCGCTTGTTGCCGGCTCTGCCGACGGTGTCGCTGACCATGGACCATGATGGCAAACCCGACTGCGAACGTGGCGCAGAGGACAGCCCGGCTCCCACCGCCTGCACCAGCAGCCCGCCGGCGCACGTCCGGCGGCTGGGCTTAATTGAGACGGACTGAGGAGCCTCCACTTGTTCTTCAACGTTTCCTTGCCAGCTGTCAGCTGCGCGTGTCGCGTGTGAGAAGCGCGAGGAGGAGACAAGCGGCTGGCAAGGGGGCCGCTGGCGTGTTTGATACACCCACGAAAGCGGATCTTCGCTGCCGCACCTTCCAGCGGCTACATGTTGGTCCCCTTCGGCATGGCTTCCGAAGTGCCCCATACGACTTCCCGCCCTCCTGGCCCTGGGAGTCGCGCCACAACACGCCACACACGACACGCCACACACGTCACACCACACGCCACACACCACACACCA